TAACTCGTTTTAAAACGTAAACGACCGTAACGTAAGACTTACGATCTTCGAATACGTTCCTTTTTTTTTAACGGGGAGGATTTATATAAAGTCGTCACCGAAAAGTACGGGTAAACCGTTAAATAAACTATTATAATTACGAATATCTTATAACTGTTTATTTATAGTCTCGAAATAACGACGGTTTTATATAAGCACCTCGTTTTAAATAATTAAACCCGCCTCTCGAATTAAACGGGTTAATATAGTTCCTTTACCGAAGTTATATATAAAAGTACTCTCGATTTTAATTAAGATTTTAAAACGTAAGTGTAACGTACGACCGTTAAATAAAAAACGGGTCGTAATATTAAACGAAGTAACGTAAAGTACGATTTATCCTTTAAAACGGTAGTATACGGTTAGTAACTAGTATAAAAACGTTTTATCGGTACTTACAAGTCTTTATAAAAAGAAACGCGTATTCGAAGGAGCCGACTCGATACGGTCCGTAATAGTCTTAAAATATAACCTTTAACCGGAGTTTAACTATACCTCGGTTATTACTACCGTAACGGTCTACTCTTTATAGTCGTAACGTTCCTTTATAAATATAAGACACTTTATATTAAGATATTAATTAAGTTAAGGTGTAAAAAGACCGAAATTATTTAATGATTTTCCGTGTTATTATAATAAACCTTCGAGGAGAAATAACCCGTAATTTAAATAAGGATTACTAAAACTATTCGGAATAACCGACGATAAAGACTAATCGGTTATAATACGACACGGTAAGTTATCGTATAAAAAAGATTAAAACTACGATTATAAAGTATTCGGGTCCGTAATAAACTTAAACACTAATTTAGTTATAAATATAAAACGTACGGCCGTTTCGTTTCGAATAATAGTTGTTTCGGTTAACGTATAAATCGTATCGTTATCGTTATTTAATAAGCCGAGAACGTTATAAGTAGCGTAGAACGTTTTATACTCGACGTTATCGACTATACGAAGGTGTATAAAGGATATTACGTTTAAAACGTTATAAAGTAAAAGCCGTAGAAAATATATTTCGTCGTACGTTTCCGGAACGACCCGTATACGACCGATAATATAAGTGTTATTTTTTCTTAAGTACTACTCTTTACCGTAAAAAGTATATTTATTCGAAAAGTTTTAATATAATACGTTCCGGACCTTTTCGTACCGTAAATTATATTTAAACTATACCGTTAAAGTCGTTCCGGCCTTTTCCGGTACCTTTTCTATCCTTTATATCGTCTCCGTTAAAGTTTTTAGTTAAGTCGGTTTAAAAATCACTTATTAATTATTCGAAAGATAAACCGTAAACCGTATAATAGTTGGTCACTCTTAGTATACCGGGAACTCGAAAATATACTACACTACTTCGTAAGGACTAATATAACGGTATTTCGTATAAAGCCCGATTTTATCGAAACGGTTCGGATTACACGGGTTTCGGGCCTTAAAAACGACCGAGGTTATATCCGACCCTTTATAAATATATTTATAAATGTATTTTATAGTATTTATAAAACCGTATACTTTTATATTAATATATAATTTATATTATAATAATAAATACGGACTATAAAAAACGACTTATTTATTATTTTTAATTCTTTAATTATTACGGGTCGTTACGGTATAAACCCGTTTACGTCGACGACGGTAGTATAAGTAACCGTCTTTATTAATAATTATTTCGTCCCGAAACGGTTTTAAAAAATCCTTAAAATAATAAAGACCTTAACCGGGTTTCTTTAACGGTTTTATATAAGACGTAAACGTATAGTTAAAACCGTAAAGGTTGTGTATTATATTTCGGGTGACTAATTCGTATAGTTCCGGTTTTATTTCGGGGTCGGGAATTTCCGTAAAAATAACATTATTAATATAATACGGGTTTAACAACCTATTACGGTTTATAATAAATAGAAATAATAAAAGATATATATATAAAAGACCGTGTTTTTAATACTCGATCGTATATATTAAACTACGAAACTCTTTAAAAATCTACTTATTCCGGACTTAATTAAGTAAATCTTACGTTTATTTATTAAATACGTACGTAATAATATTAAAATAGTTATAAGTATTTATTCCGGACGGGAGTTAAGTAAGTAATTCGGGACTATTCGGGTTATAAGTGAATATAATAAAAAACGACGGTCGGTTAAATATACGTATAATAACTATAAAGTCTTCGTAGTATATTATTATAAAACGGTCGTTACTAATATACGTTACGGGTATAATCGATATACGTCTTAACTCCTTAGTTATAATTTCGTTCCGTTTTAGTTAATTTAACGCGGTACGTAATATATAGTAGTACTCCGTTAGTAGTTTCTTTTAATTCGTTTTAATTTATCGGACCCGTTCTTAATCGATACACGTTTATATATCTATTAAAAATTGTTAAAATAAACGGTCGTAAAGGAATAAGATAATATTAAACCGGCCTTCGCGTTAATATAAGTGGTATCGGGCCTATTTCGTTAACGTTAAACGAGGGTTACTATTATTCGATCCGTTATCGAATGTAACACTTTAATAAAAGCCGATCTTTTTACGAAGAAATATTAATACGTATATTAAAGGGAAATAAGTAACGTGGTTAAAGTTAATATAAGTGTAACGGGGTTAATTCGGGTCTTTCGACTTTAAAACGATATCGTAAACGGACTATTTATTATATTCGTATAAAATTAAGGCCGTAACCTCGTTTAAAGTAGGTGTATTATAACGTCGTTAGTCGTTACGTTTATTAATAATTAACCGTATTTAAGGATTTAAAAACGTAACGGTTCGGGGGTTATTTTCGTACGTTAGTCGCTCTTTTACGTTCTTATAAATAGTCGTAAAATAATTATATTCGGTTAAAAACTAGTTAATCTTAATTAATTCGTTTATATTTAAACCCCCGTCTAACACTTGTTATATATATATATTACAGACTTTAACGGTCATTTACGTGTTTAAAAAGTAATATTATATAAATTAAGGAGGCCTATTATCGACTAGTTGTAACGGACCGGTGTTGTGGTAAAGTGTGCCTTATATCTAGTACGTTATCGGGGCGTTACCGACCGTACTACACGTAGTCTAGGTCGTATTAATCGAAGTGAACGAAAACACACAATTATACTTCCGAATATTATTATAAAACCGTTTTATTCGAGTAGTGTTAATTAAAATAAACGGAAATAGTTAAAAACGTAATTAAAAGAAATATAATAAGAATAAAACTTATATATTAGTAGGTTTATTAAGAACTCGAGAGGGTTTAGTAAGGACTATAATACGCGCCTTTTAACGTTGTAATAAGATTACGACCCGTCTCCCTTTTAACGAATTATCTTATAATACTAATAAATAAGGTTTATAATAATCTTAAAACGAGGGTTGTTTTAAAAGTTAAATACGGACCGAAACGTTATTAAAAGTAAAACTTAACGAGGTAAACGGTGTAGTAAAAACGTAATAACTACTAGTGTCGGTAAAATAGTCCGTAAAAGTGGTGAGTTCGTTTATTACGGTGTTAAAAAGATTAAAAAGGTATTTAAAAAAAGAGACGAAAAAGGTTATAACGACTATTATACGACTTGAAAGGAGATAAAAAGGACCGAAGATATCGAGAAAGGAGATAAAGAAGCCCGTTTTAACTATTACGGTTATAAAACACGTTAAAGAAAAGGTAAATAAAAAGGGAAAATAAAAAAGAGAGTGGTTAAAGTAAAAAAGGAAGAAAATAGTTATTACGGTTATTACGGTATAATAAAAGGGACGGGATCTTAATAAATCTTAAAGTTAAAAATAAAACGTTACGGTAAAAGACCGGTTAAAACTAATTAAAATATATTTACTATATTAGTGTTATAAAAAAAAAACACTTATTATAGTAAAAAAAGGGAACTATAATATATTATTAATAATAAAAGTAAAAGTAATACACCCTTTTTCAACGCCTTTATAACTAAAACAAGTCTACCACGACCGTTTACGGGTATAGTTAATAAAAGAAGAAACTAGAAAGGTTTTCTTATACTTAATACACTTTCGTATATCGGTTAAAACGGTTTAAAAAAGAAAGTCTCGAGTACGTCGGTTCTTCGAGGTAGTAGTGTAGTTTTTATAAGTCCGATACGGTTTAATACTTAACCGTTCCTTTACGAAAAAAGTAGTAAAAAGAGTATATTTATATATAAAATATATCCGTAAAGAAAATGTAAAGGTATTTTTTATCGTAACGGTATAAAATAAACGATAAGTAAAATAATTAGTAATAGTTCGTAAAAACAGTTAGTAATATTAAAGTACGAATATAAATAAACCTAATTTAAACACGAAAACGCGACCAAAAAACACGACGGTTAAAAATAGACCGACCTATAAAAACGGACCACAAAACCCCCCTCCGACGAATAAAATCGATTCCACGTACGACGTTAACGAAAAAGTGGAGCAAAAAAGCGATTCTAACGAATAAGAGGGCTCAAATAGGCGAAAAACTAGGGGCCGTTAACGTGACGGACCAATCAGACTACAACAATCTGCGCACTCTCCAAACAGCCAATGAACGGAGGGTATTCGGGAAAAAGCGGGCCTCAACGGACCAATAGGAGGCGGCTCTCAAAACTTCTTCATGGTACCTTAAGATTTCATTGCAACAAGCTTTTCCTGATTCATAAAGAATTGTCCGAATGCCAACGCATTCCATACAAATAGAAGCAGACAGCGACTGTGCATGTGTACTTTTGTCTAGGATGTCTTTAATTCAGTCTTAAACTTCCATTTGATTGTACACAACAGGAATCATCTCATATTCCTTCGTCCTTTGTCCCATTGCCCCTTTCCCCGATCCCTTTCCCTCTCATGCCCGTTCCTTTTGAAGGTAATGTTTCCTTCCATCTAACGCTGCTCCATTCTGCACATGCTCTGATTTATTATCACATTGCAATCATGATGGCCACTGATGCTGGCAACATTTACCAGTCCGAGAGGCTGTTGCTGGGAGCCAGGTCGGTGACGGCACCGTGGCTCGCATCGCCAACCAAACGGGCGTACTTGGCCAACACGCCACGGGCAGGGATTAGTGGCTTGGGTGTCCACTGATCACGGCGGGCGCGCAGGGTCTTAAGGACAGCCTCGGGGTCTTCGTCCTCCTCGTTGTTGTCGTCGGTGTTGCCGACCGAGGCGAGCGAGCCGCGCTCCTCGCGGACGTCAACGGTGGCGACGACATCGATGCGGTTCCTGACGGCATCAATGCGCACCAGGTCGCCGTTGCGGACCAGGCCAATAGGGCCACCAGTGGCGGCTTCGGGGACGACGTGGCCAACAATGAAGCCGTGGGAGGCGCCACTGTAGCGGCCATCGGTGACGAGAGCAACATTGGTTAGTCCGGCACCAATGATGGCGGCACTGGCGCTGAGCTGCTCAGGCATACCGGGCCCGCCGCGGGGGCCCTCGTAACGGACAATGAGGACCAGGTTACCCATGTCGGCGCGAATGCGGCCCTGGGCTAGTGCAGTGTTAAGTTCGTGCTCTTTGTCAAAGACGCGAGCTGTGCCGGTAAAGCGCAGACCCTCCTTGCCAGTGATCTTGGCGACAGCGCCACCAGGAGCAAGGTTGCCGCGCAAAATGCGGATATGACCGGTGGATTTGATAGGGTCGGATAGCGGGCGAATGATAGTCTGGCCTGGGTCGAGCGAAGGCCAGGCGGCGCAGTTCTCGGCCAAGGTCTTGCCTGTCACGGTGAGGATGGAGCCATCGACGATGCCAGCGGCAATGAGAAGTTTGAGAACGGAGGGCGTGCCGCCTATCTTGTACAAATCCTCCATGTAGTACTTTCCGGAGGGGGCAAGATCAGCAATGAATGGCACGCGGTTGGAAGAGCGGTCAATGTCGTCAATGGTCAGAGCAACGTCGGCGGCACTGGCCATCGCCAGGAAGTGCAGGACGCCGTTGGTGCTGCCGCCGAGGGCCATGGTGATGGACAGGGCGTTCTCAAAAGAGGCACGGGTCAGCAGGTCGCGCGGGCGGATGTCACGCTCCATGACGACCTTGATGGCGGCGGCGACGTTCTCGCATTCGCGGGCCTTCTCGGGTGACACGGCCGGGAAGGATGAGCTGCCCGGCAGGCACAGGCCCATGGCCTCGATGGCCGTGGCCATGGTATTGGCCGTATACATACCACCGCAGGCGCCGACGCCAGGGCAGGCGTGGCGTTCAATGTCCTCGAGGACATCAGAGGGCGTGGGATCCACCGAGACGTCTTTGCCGTTGGCAGACGGATGCTTGACCTTGCAGCCCGGGGCGGCGTGCAGCCGGTCATAGTTGTAGGCGCCGGCAGCCTCATAGCAGGTGCTAATGTTGATTTCTTTGTCAAGCAAGGACGAGTGGCCCTTGAGGATGGTGCCGCCGTAGATCATGATGAAGGGGCGGTTATGGCGGGCTGCGGAGATGATGACGCCTGGCATGTTCTTGTCGCAGCCAGGGATGCTGACGTTGGCGTCGTGATGCTGGGCCGAAGTGACGGTCTCAATGCTATCGGCAATGATCTCACGGGTCAGCAGAGAGAAACGCATTCCCTCGCCGCCCATGGTGATGCCGTCAGACACGCCGACGGTATTGTACTGCCAGGCGAGCATGCCCTGCTTCTCGACACCCTTTTTGACGATCTTGCCGAGTTCGAGGAGGTGGGTGCTAGCTTGTCAGTAAGTCTAATAAAAGAAGAAGACGATGTCGATTTTGATGCGTCAAAACTCAACTGTTGACTCACTTGCACGGGTTGCCTTCCCACCAGACAGTCGCGATACCAACATGCGGTGCATTCTTCATCATGTCGCGGTTTGGCACGCCGGCGGCGTAGAGCATGGCCTGGGCGCCCGGGTGGTCATGGCCACGGGTCAGATTCTGAGACCAGCGGTTAAGGGCGCCACCGGGAGCAAGGGCATTGAAGTGAGTGTAATCGCCGGGTTTGGGGAAGCGGCTGGTCGTCGAGTCGGCAGGTGTGTCGACAAGCTTGTCGGCTGAAGAGCCGTTGCCGTTGTTGGCCGCCATTGTGAGCAGCAGAGTGCTGATCGTGACGGGGATAATTTTTAGTGTAGATGTGAAAATTTGAAGAAGATAAGAGGTATGGAGATGAGCGGGAGGAAGAGAAAATAAAAGAAAATAGAGTAAAGAGGGGGAGAGAGAGACGAGAGAAAACAAGGGGGGGGAAAGGAAGAGAGTTAAAAGGTCTGTGGAGGGGACAAGGAGATGAATGAGGAAGGGTGAATAGTTTGCTGCTCTGCACAAAAATTGCGTTATGGCAGTAGTGCTGGGCCGTCTGGCTGAACTCAGATTCTTCTCGAATTGTTGTCAGATTGTTCTCAGATTCGTGTGGAGTTGACGTCAAGCCGGCCCTATACCAATATTCTGTGATGTGATGTGAATCGGAATGTGAATCGGGGCGTGAGTCGGCACAGCTGCCCAAGACAACGGGACGTGGTACAGTCCGAGCGAATACAGTGCAGGCCGATGCAGGCCGTGGTCGTATTGAGTATTGATGGCGTCCTCTTCGACTATTGTTCGATTCTTGGTCGAGGCCTCTAAAACGGTCAGAAATCCCGACCGGCAGTGGCCTGCAGGGAAGTGGGTTGTATTGTGTGGTATTGGCCTTGGGAGTACCGAAAGCAAAGAGTTAATGTATTTCGGCGCGCCGGCTGCAAACCAACCATGTTCTTGACCTCGCCGTCTGGTTGGATGATACCGTTAAGGGCTTTAAGAGGTGTTTTCTTTTATTTCGGTATGGTATCTCTTGCTTATCGAGTTCGTGTCTTTTGTGTGCCTTTCCCGCCAATTGTTTTCTCAATAATACGTTCCGCCCCTTTCCTTCCTTTGTATCGGGTCAGTCTCCACCTGGCTACGTCGTTTGCTGCAGGTCGGAAAAAGGATTTGGTGGAAAGGCACTAAGAACCAAAGCGAGAAGAGGAATGATGGTAAAGAAAAACGAAAACGAAAAACAAAACAAAAAGAAAGACCAGAGATGTGGTGAGGAGTGCCAATCGCAAGTAGTAGCGAAGAATAGTAGACAGAGGAGGAGAAGAGAAAACGAGGAGCAAGGGAAGCCCGAAAATGAGGAGTGAGTAGGAAAAGCAGAGAAGAACTCCTCATCCGGACATCACGGAGAGCGAATCGGAAGCTCGAGAAAGTCGGTGACGGTGGCAGGGTGTGGGAATAGCAGGCTCACAACGGTCGCAAGAGGGGACAAGACGGCGACAAGGAGATCGCTGCCAGGTAAACTTTCTTCCTTTTCACTTCTCTCCTTATTTTTTGGTCCAGATTTCAGTCTCCAGACCAGCCCACGCTTGCCTAATTCAGTATCGGAACCATGCGGCCCTGGTGGAAGGAGCCCGAGCCATGGCAGCTAGGCCAGGGAGGTGAGCTAGGGCCGGTAACTAGTGGCTACTTGGAAATGGTGATTTTGGTGACAGCTGCCAAGTATCTCTGATGCGGTGAGGGGCCCGAGAGAGGGATGTAGGAAGGAGAAGCGGAAGAAAAGGGGACTAGGCCGAGAACTTAGCAGGCGGAGAAGTAAAAGAAGCGGAGGCAAGTGCGAGGCGCGAGTCACAGGGGCACAAGCAAACCAGGAAGGGCCGGACGTCATACGAAAATAACAACTGGCCGAGGGTCGGCGCAATGGGTTTACTGCTGGCTCGCATTTCCAGTGGAGCAGTACCGATGCTGGTCAGTGCTTGGGCCGACGCACCAGGAAAGACCACGCAGGGCCAAAGAAAAGCCGGCATAGAGTGATTGCGTGTTGCCAACGTCGAGATGAGGCTATGAAACGCGACAAGCAGGGGCAGAATGTAAACAAGGCTGAGAGTTGCTAGTTCCTAATTGGGCAACTATGTCTGCCTGCATTCTGTGCCCTGCTGCTTTTGGCCTGGATTGGAAAGGCAGTAACGGCATCCCACGCCCAGAAAGAAATCCATCCCACGCCGCCTCCACGCGTCCCCACGCAAGAAGCAGACAAACTCCCTCGCGCATTCTGCCTCCCACTCTGCTCTGCCTCCCACTCGATCTCCAACGCTGTCTCCACGCAAGTCATCCCGCACTGACTACTAAGTGGTATATGGGGGCTGGTCTGGGGTAAGGCTGCGTGGAGGCTTCTCTTCGACGTCATACGACTTATAACGGGCATATCACAACATTGCGGACAGATGCAGAATACGACGTGCATCGTTGAAGACACGATCTAGGTAAGAAATTGCTGGTTTTTTAATCCACTAAGGTCATCATCGTCACCGTCATCGTCACCATCATCGCAACCACACCGGTACCGTCGCATCAAAACCACCGTCACCGTCGCTTGAGATAATGTTACAAGGCGCCGACCGCCAAAGAGGAGAAACGGGAAGAAACAAAAGGTGGGGTATGCAGACATGCGGAGAGAGTTAGAGCGCAACGTGAAGGGAATAAAGACGAAGAAAGGCGGCAATGGGGCAAGTTGCTCGCTTGAGGAGTCGCGCGCAGTCATGGAATCTTTAGGTCATCACTCGTGCTCCAGCAAAGACAAAACAAAAAAGAGAAAATGGAAAGGGACAAAAGAGAAGAGAAATGAAAAGATAAGAATATTGTTTGGGGGAGGGGGGGGCGGGGGGATGTTGCAATCGAAGAAGCGAAGAAGAAGAAAACGAAAAAGAGAAAAAGAGAAGAAGAGAAGAAGAGAAAAAGAGAAAAGGAGAAAAAGAGACGAAGAGACGAAGAGACGAAGAAAATAGACTAAAGCAAATCAAGCTCACTGGCGAAACAAACAAAGAAACATCAAGCAAACATGCCGACCGCAAAACGCCAGATCCTAGAAAGCAGACCCTGGGAAACAGACATCGTAGAGACGTACGACCACTCCCAATACACACCAAGCACAATAGACCGTTACGCCACCGGCGGCACAACCACGCGCTCCTCCTCGAGTCGTCGCACCATCTCGCGCTCCTTGGGACTGCGCGGGTTGGCATCGATGCCCAGGATCGACGAGATGCGTGTCTTGTCCGCAGCAGCCTGTGTGCCCTTGGCGCCGTAAAACGCCTCGCGTTCATCAGGTGACGTGTCGGGCGTCAGCGGTGTACCGTTGGTCGCCGTGACAGCCGTGACTGTGGAACCAGCCGAAGACGACGTCGACAAACTCGGAAGACCGCTGCCACCCGTACGCCACGCCTGCTCCAGCACGAGTGGGTTTGATCCGCGGCCGTACTCGCCCGCAATCGTCGACCAGAACGAAGTCCGATGGCCCGCGTACACGGCGTGCAGTCGGGCCATGTCGACCGGGTGGTGTGGCCCCGTCGACGACAGTGGCAGCGGCGGCAGTCCGCTGCAGTCGAGGCGCAGGTTGGGCATCCCTTCTCTGCTGTCCTTCGAGTTGGCGCCGGGCCGGGGCGTGGTGGCACTGGTCGGTGTGCGGGTCGAGAACGTGGCCGCCGGCAAGAGAGGTGCGCTGTGCGGCGGCGCTGTCGAAGCATCGCCCATGTACGAACCGTTGCGGCTCGAAGACGACAACGACCCAGCACCCGTCACCAGAGCCAGGGTCATAGACACAGGCTTAGGCAGGATCGTGGGCAGCCGGGGCGACGACGTGTTGTGGGTGCTGTTGCTGCTGTTGCTGATACTGTTGTGGGTATTGCTAATGTCGGTGTTGATGCTCGGCAGGTGGATGCAATGGCCATGGCTGTGGTTGTGGCCGTGGCCCTGGCCGTGGCCGTGGCCGTGGCCGTGGCCGTGGGGCATGCCGTGAGAATTGTGGTGGCTGTGTATGCCATGGTGATGCGCGTGGCCGAGACCGTTGTTATGGGCATGGCCGTGGCCAAAACTGCCGGAGCTTCCCGGCGGCGACGGAGTGGGCGAGCTCTGTCCATGGCCATGGCCGCCGTGTTCGTGTATCGGCGAGGGCATGGACGCCGCCAGGATCGGCGAGTGGCCACCCGTCGATGATCCCGACGAGACACTCGTCGTGCGCTTGCGACGGTTGCTGCCGTGGCTCAGCTGATGGTAATGGAGCCGGCACGCGAGCTCCGTCTTCTTGAGATGTGCCGCAATGTGCTTGTATGGCATCTTCTGCAGACGTGTCTGGAGCAGGTAGACTTCCTGGGGGTCGTTAGCAGAGGCTGGTTTGAAATCAATGGACTTAATCAAATGGTACAATATAGAAAACGCACTTCATCATCACTCCAGGCCCGGCCACCACCAGTCGACGACGGCTTGCGGTTCTTGGAGATGCCGTACTCATGTCGGTCCATTGCATCAGACGTCGGCGTGTACGTGGCCGGCGAGGCCATTTGCAGAGTCGGAGACATCGTGGTGATGATATCGGTGATATTTACGAGATATTTGTCTTGGTGTGAACCAAATCGACCAAGTAACAATATCGAGGAGGCGAGGTGAAAAGCGAAAAAAATATTGAGATATGAGCCGAATCGTGGGAGCAAGAAGGGGCGAGAGAAGAAATGCAGAGTCGAGATAGTCCAGATATGAGCTACGCGAGGCGGTCACTGGTCGAGGCAGGTAATCTCTGCGGGTGGATGAGTACGGTCGTACGAAAGAAACGAAAAGGTTCGCGTTTAGACGATGAAAAATATCCCGAGAAATGGAACAGTCGTGAAGTTGAGAAGTTGAGAAGTCGAGAAGTCGAGAAGTCGAGAAGTAATACCCAGGTCACACACACAAAATGGGGAGGGAAAAAATGCTGTAAAACGAAAGGAAGTGTTTCTTGTGTCTTTTTAAAAGAGTGGAAGGCAGCCAAACCAGTTGGACGGTGAGAAGGGAACGTCAAAAGTTTAAAAGAAATAAAAAAAGTAACGAGGGTGAGTGACAAGAAAAAAGGCCAGCTGCTGTTGTTAAAAAAGAGGGTTAGAAGAAGTGAAGTGAAAGAAGAAAGAAAGTCAGAACACACGCAACAGCGCCGTGATCGAAAAAGAAGAAAAGGAAGAAATAATCTCTTAATCCTCAAGGGAAAGAGGGAAGAGAAAAAAAGAAAGGAAAGAGGAAGGGAGAAAAGAGGAACAACAGGAGGGCAACGTGCC